TCGGAGCCCAGTTTTTTAACATTTGTTGTATCCTATATCATAGTAAGTTCTATCTCCTAGTCACACAATACAAGGCTGATGAGCAGAACGCAGCACCCGAAATCGATCCTCGCAGATCTCGCATCTATGCTCCTTTCAAATCTCACATCGTCTTCTGCCGCGTGTTCTGTAATGCTCACACTCAACGTGTCCATAATATCTGGCATCGAATTCTACGCACCTCAGTCACGTTGTGCGACTAGTGCTCCTCCCGATCCCTACCCCGAGGGCGAGGCGAAGAACGTACTAGCACTTCCGCTCCTACTCGACGCCTTCTCCACCGTCCAGGTAGATCCAGATCGATCGAAACGGACACGAAAGGGCGATCTGCACTTCCTTGCAAGTGTATTCGCCAATCTCAGCGTGGTATGAGGCTCGCTCTCTTCCAATGATCCACTACTGATTGTCAAAAAGGCGCCTGCAGGCCGTAGCTTCTTCTTAACAGCGCGGCCAGCCGACATTTCGAAGCCTGCAGAGCTAGAATACCCTCTCGCAAAGATAGTGTCTTTCACAGAGCACAAGGATACCATTCGTAGAGGTGGTGTTGCCTCCACACTAAAGTCAGTCTCCGCCATGTCATTCCCTGAATTGACCCCCAATTCCCGCAGAAATTGTGCGTTCCATGCCCATGGCCACAAAGCAATCCTATCGCCAGAGACAGACAAGGTCTCCGTCTCACCATTTACTGACGAGGCCCCAGGAGTCGATGCCCTCCCCTACATCCTCCTTCCTCTCGCCGGGCCCGAAGAATTCGACCTCGAGGTTCGTTCTCTCATGAATTTCATCACCGTTTCAGCACCTGACATCCTTCGCCCAATTCCTAGGACCAAGAAAAACTCCCGGATGCGGTACAGTTCCTCCCGCCCACGAAGGCGCGCGAGGTAGACCCCACGCTCCGGTTGATGCACGTAGAGACGCTCCTCCTGCTATGCCACACGCGCTGGGGGCGCGACTACCTCCGCGAACACGGGGTGTATGAGGTCGTGCGTGCAGCGCACATGGTTGAGTCCGTGGACAAGGTGCGTACCCCCCACCCCCCGTCGTCCTCCTATGCCCCTGATCCCCGATCCGCGATTCCTTGCAGATATCCGAACACATCGAGAGGCTGGTGACGCTCCTGAAGGGCGACGAACCGTCTGACCCGAAGGAGCTGGAGGAGGGCGGGGACACGATTGAGGATGCATCACTTGGGGCGCCGGAGGGTGCGGCAATGAGACAGATCATGCCACCCCCTGCTGCTGCACCAGTAGAAACTGATGATGATGAGGACAACAAGATTGAGGAAGTGTAGAGATGCCTTGTCGCTTGTCGTCGGCATGCTCTAGGTCTTCGATGTCTGTTCTCTTGAGATAAGTGTTGCATTGCATGTGCATAAATGAAACAGAGAACAGCGACGGTGTTTGAGATTTGTATTGGCGCTTCGATACAAATCAGACGATATCATCTTGTCATTGTTAATCACTATGCGAATCTGATGTGTGGTTTTGGGGTTCAGGTTATAATTAATCGTGAGCGAATTGGTCGAGAAAGCCATGTTTCCAGGCCGACGCAGATTTGAAGATGGCAACGAGAGCGCCACGCAAGTCAGAGTGAGTTTCTCATGGGAGCATCACCTGTCCTTTACTATCCTCTTTTATCATAAAGCTGTTCTTTCGTCTTTCGCACGCGAGGACTCTGGTTGCCTCTTGGTCTACATACGCGGTTCAATTTCTTCCTTGGCGATGGCCTAGGCCCGCTTGACCCTTGTACTGTCGGGCGTTTTAGTCAAATCTTTGGCGCTTTCCTACGCTACGCAGCGGCATCAGCCATGAGCAATACAAATCATCAAACTCCAAGTATATCACTTATATGCCGTCATAGGGTCTATTTCTGTTCAATGGACGGTGGGGTTCTGCCCGGTCCCTAGAGCCCTCTGGCATGTAAGTACAGCAACGCAACTGACAAGAGAAATGCGTTGCGACCTGCAACCATCTATGAACCCCTGAACCGTGTAAGAATGGTTCCTTCCATCCATTCTAGATTGATTGCTCCACAGCAGTGGGAACGTCCTATAAAAGCCCCATGAATCTGAGGTAGCAAGCCCCAGCTTTTGCCCACTTCCCCTTTCCTTCTCTCAATCCTCGTTTCTTCTCTTCGGTCGCTAGCGATCGATTCGTCTGTCTCTTCCTAGTGCCTTCATCTACACAAACCAAGTACATACTTTCAACTCTCGTTCTCTGGGCCAGTCCCTCTTTCTACGCCTTCATCGGACCTACTGTTTGAGCGTTGAGCGCCTTCTTGCAAGCAAGACTCAAGAATCAGATCAACACTTTACCTAGCACGAAAGTAGCCCTTTGACAATGCTTTTCAAATACTCCGTCCTCCCCCTCCTCGCCTCCGTGGCTGGCTCGGCACTTGCGGCTCCTCGTCCTCTTTTCGTGAGTTGATTGTCCTTCGGGTGAAGTCCCCGATCACTTATCTAGTCTCTGAATCTCCAGGCTCGTGGAAAGGGAAACACTGTAGCAGCAGTAAGTTTTGCATAAACTCGCCCATAAGAGGGATTACTTACAGTACAAACTTCTAGTCAACCGCAGACGCAAACGCCGCAGCAGATGGCGACAACACCGGCCTAACTGCCACCCTCGCCGTAAGTCTTTTGAACATTTTCAACCTTCACAAGGCCAACCATCCACGCAGGCCCCCAGCGCAACTCTCTCTGCACTAGCCCCCACCGACACCTCCCTCGCAGGGAACGGGACCGCCGTCGATAACGGGGCTGCCAACGCAACCGCCACCGCCACCGACACTGGCCTCAACAGCACGGCCACCGACGTCAGCGCTGCGACCGCAACTGTTACTGTTACCGTCACCGTAGTACGTTCTCCTCCACCGTTTTTATGTCAAAGGGGCTTTACTCACTTTTGCTATGATGTAGACGGCTGCTGCGACGGAGACCGCCGCCGCCGCCAACGGTAATGGTGCTGCCCATGGAAAGAAGGGCAAAGGTGCCGGAAAGAAGGCTGCGAAGGCTGCTGCTGACCAGGCTGCCGCGGACCAAGCTGCTGCTGACCAGGCCGCCGCTGACCAGGCCGCTGCTGATGACGCTGCTGCTGCCGCCGCCGCCGGGGGAGATGCGGCCGCCGATCCTGCGGCAGACGCCACCGGTGCCAGCACTGCCGGAGGCGCGACCAATACCAAAGGAAACGCAAAGGGAAACGGAAAGAACCAGAAGGCACAGGCCGCCCGCCGTGCGAGCTACGCGAAGTTCATCAAGTCTCGCCGGGGCTTCTAGGATGCTTGAATGGTGAAATGCAGGAGATAGACTTGCCAGATACACGTCGAAAATGTACTTTAGATCAGGCTAGAGCCCTTACTTATTTGAGAAGAAGTTCTTGGATCCATTTGGCAGGGTTATTGAGCACAAAGCACGATGAGAAAAAGTACAATGCCACGAGGGCACTGAACATCGAATAAGGCCTGTAAAACTGATATCATGGCCGAATTACACATGAATGCATCTCCGAAATAAAATAATACTGTACACGGAAGCAGGGAGGACGCCAGCGTGGCCAATTTACTGCTCGCTTTTCGCCTCAGCTATCTCGCTCTTCGCTTTCTTCGTCATCGCTTTTTCAATATCAGAGAGATATGCCAGGAGTTCCTAAAAAGAATTCGTCAGAAAGATGCACGCGTCAGGGAACGACAAGGCTTACTGTGTTTGTCGGCTCGTAGGATAGCCCAAGCCTCAGAGCGTCCGCCGAGTCGCGCAGCTTGTGAAGCCCAACCAATGCCTTTGCCTTCCTAAAGTGACCCTTGCTCCACTGTCTCCGTATCGCAATAACTGCGTCCGCGTCCGCGAGGGCCGAGACGTAGTCGCCCGCTTCAGTGAAGGCTGCAGAGCGATTGGACAGGACGGTAGAGAGTTCCTCGCGCATGAGCTGGTTCCCTTCCCAGGGTGGTCGATTGATGGCAAAGTTGGCAGCACCGGTGTAACGGTTAACAGCAGCAGTATGTAGACCACTTTTGAACAACGCCTACGCGGTGACGTATTAGCGATCGAACTAAAAGTAAATGAAGATTACACACATTTCCTTCGTCCTTCGTTGCGGTCACCATTTGTGAGAGCTTCTGGGTAACGACGTTGGCGGGTGGTGGGCAAAGAAGGTTTGGGTTGTTTGCAAGCAATGTTGCGAGGCGGTTAAGATTGACAAAGTCTACGTCGCAAGGTTCGCATTTTTCGAGACGGTGTTCAAGGCAGCGTGCATTATGTAGATCATCAGAAAGCGATATAGGAACGGGTCTGAAGTCCTCTTCGATGAGGGCCTGGAGAGCGGGGTCTGCGGTGGGTGCCATGGACGGTTGCGGAGGTTCATGGGAATGGGAATGCGAGTGTTCTTCTCCCGGGGCGTGCGTGTGCGAGTGAGCCTCAGACATGGTAGCTCGACAACAAGTGTATGTTGGCTGTAGGCGACGAAAGCGTTGACGTGACCGTTGGCGTGCCGCGTAACTGCCACGTCTGGTTAATGGATTGTTTGTATCTCCTTGCTTTGGCAAATACGCCCGGTCCTGGCGCCTCACATATAGCATCAAGGGTTGGCAAGGATTTCATGACAGGAATTCAAAGTCAACCAATCCCAGAGAACTTGAAAGGAAGAAGACATTCTGGCACAAAACAAATACGCAAAAGATATACTTTAGCCCACCGCGAGGGTCGAACTCGCAGCCTTCAGATGCCACTGCCTAGGTAAGAGTCTGACGCTCTATCCGATTGAGCTAGGCGGGCAGTGACTATAGCGAATTTGTGCGTTTCACGTCTCGAGGACTTGCAATCGTGGCGTAAACCCTAAGGAAATGAATAGGAGTGCATTGACATGTTGTTCCTAGTACTGATGCATTGTGTACGGATATATAGGGAGGTTCCATAGGAACCAGCATTAGGGAGGTGATATAGGAGTCCAAAAAGGTTGGGATGCATTGCACATAGCCCACCGCGAGGGTCGAACTCGCAGCCTTCAGATGCCCGTTCGTAAAAGTCTGACGCTCTGGCCGATTGAGCTAGGCGGGCTGATAAAGCCTCTTTATAGCCGCAAGTCGTCCAGAGGGAGCTTCCGAAAAGACGGTGGGGATCGTCTCATTGGCCGCCATAAAACATAAAACCAGGCACATCGGATGCGACTGAGGTGAGATGATCAGTACCCTTCGCTTAAATGTTTTGCGCCACATGCGGAAAACTGTCAAAAAGACCCTGTCTATGAAGGACCATAGCCCACCGCGAGGGTCGAACTCGCAGCCTTCAGATGCCACTGCCTAGGTAAGAGTCTGACGCTCTATCCGATTGAGCTAGGCGGGCGATACACCTACTCCAATACGAAACATCACAACGCGCCACCAGTGCCTGCGGCTCCCACGATCCAATATGTTCACGAGTTCATATATCAATTCGTGAGTTGTTCGGATATCATTACGTTAATACCACAAAGGCTACGACCCAATGACGAAGGAGTAGAGTCAACACCGGCAGGAACAATATCAAGCAACAAAACACCTGTAACACCCGAGCTTTCTGGTCTTCCCAATATTGTTCCGACAACTTTTGGCCCTCCAAGGTCTTGACTCTTTCTTCTTCCCTTAAATGTTGATACAGCTGCTTGACCTTAGCTTCCGCGTTCTCGATCGCAACAGCTCCCCTAACTCTCTCCTCCTCCAGTAGCAGCCCTGCCTTGAGCTCCGCCTTCGCAGCGAGAGTTTTCACCTCCGCCAATCTCACCCTGGTATTGTCCTTCTCTTCTTTCAATGCCGCCTCCGCCTTGGATTCTGTCCTCGCAGATCTGACTTTCTCCTCCGCCAGTGTCGCATCTGCCTTCTTCAAAGCTGTATTCAAGCCCTCGTTCAAGGCGTTTGCCCTTGCTAAAGCCTCGACCAGACCGGGTATATCTCCCCAGTTGAAGTTGCATGCACCTTGAAAGAGTCAATCCCCGGACAGGAGAAAGAAAAAGTCGAAAGCTTACTCTTGGTGGCTGCACTTTCTTGAAAGTTAAAACTGGAGATGGAAGAAGCACTCGATCGGCGGTCGTTATCAGACGCGTTTCCTGAATCGTCATCTGCGCGGGTTTCCGCTCCGAAACTCTTGGAAAGCCCGTTTTGCGTGAATTTCGCTGGAGGTGTGCCAAACGCGGCTACAAGTGACAAACCGTTCAATATACTTTCACGTTTGGAGAACGATAAAGCAAGAAGGCTTACATTGCTCAAACGAACGAAAGGCTGACACACTGTTCCGAGGGCCGAGCGGTTTGTCGGGGTGGGCGATGGTGTCTGGTTTAGCCGAACCTGTTGAACCATATATATGAGATGCGCCAATGTAACTGGGATGAAGGCGCACCTGGCAATACAAGTTGCGGGGGCAGAGGTTCTATCGTTGGGTGGCCGACAAACGGAGTACCACTAGCGTTGTATAAAGGGTCCCGAGGCGAGAAAGAGACCAACGTAGCGCTTTCGTCCTGATTATCAAACATTCTGCTGGCGCTTTCCGGAGCGTTCATGGTGGATACGAGATGTGGAGCGACGTGGAAGGTGTAGTGTGAGTGAGAGGAGCTTGGGGATGCAATACAGTTCGAAAGAGAACGACCTTTTGAGTTGGCTTTGAGCCCAAGTTTCTTTGTTATTCTGACATCTGCTCGTGGAAAGTGGCCTTTGTGTTATCTAAATCGCGTGCACAAGCGCGTGTGTACTTGGTCAAGGGAGCGTGTCGAGGAAAGGGTGGATGTCGGGCCGGCATGAGTTGGATAGGATCAAATCATCAAAAATGTTCTTGAAAGCTTCAACGTTCAACACTCTTGAACAATTCCATCACTTGCGAGTCGCGATGATGACGACGCGATCGGCTGCCAACACCAGAACCCTACTTGCGCGCACCCTATGCGTTGCCCCTCGAACCCCGCCTGGCCCATTCCTCGCCATTCTGGATTGTCGGGATCCAAAGTTGTGGCATCCGGACTTACAATATATGTCGGCTTACGTTGCGGACGAGTGACGCTGCAATATAGTACTTGACTTTAGTATGCTCCTCCACCTTCTATCTCATCTGCTCCCAGGCTCAAGCGCTCATATCTATGGCAGCATACCTTGACTTTGTGTGGCGATGTCAGCCATCAAAGCCAACTTCCCGGGTCCTAAATGCATGATTCATTTTGGACTCCTGATTCCAGTTTGATTTCATACAAGACCCTGTCTTAGAAATCTTTCCAGAAATCCGGGTATCCTGTCACCATTAATGATGATGGTCTACATATACTACTCAGACATTAGGCCCCACACAGATGTCAGCGGCGGTGCTTGGCCTCATTCAGGCTTTCCGTCTGCTTCGTGGCAGGTTGGTGGCAGGAGGGCCTCTTTCTGTTCTTTCTGTTCTTTCTATTCCTTTCCTTCCTGCCGCACGCCAACTCACGCCTTCGCCGATGTCCGCCGTGCTCGGACGCCCCAAGTCGATCCTAGTCATCGCCATCTTGGTCATCGGCTTCTTTACCCTCTTCCCTTGGTCCTACTTGTCCGGGTTGTCGTCGGCCGAGACCTTCGATACTTGGACGAATAAGAGACCCAACGGCGTGATACTCATTCTTCTATCACCTAAACGGATACAACAAGCCACCTTGGCGCTTAGAAACGTCGAGGATCGATTCAATCGTCGTTTGAAGTACCCATACCGTCTTGTCATGGTCGAAGGAGAATATGAGGAAGTCACTGAGGTGCAGAAAGAGAGGATAGCCCACATTACTGAGGGTCGAGCGAAATTTAGTAAGTTCTGTGTTGGACAAGACCAATCTCGATTGACGTTTGTGGACACTTATCAGCGGAGATACCAAAATCTCAATGGGACGCTCCAGCATCTCTGAACCAGTCACTCATGGATGCATCGATTGAGAAGATCGGGTACGCATTGAGATTGCAATGGGTCCGTACATCTGCCTAACCTCTTCCAGTTTCTCGTCTAACTATCGAGCCATGTGTCGCTGGTACTCAGGTTGGTAACACATTATGAGGAACACCGCGTCCGTCGTGGTATTGCGCGGTTAGTGGATGTGAGCATTCCAGCTGACGTCCAAATCTCTCAGGTTCTTTCTGGAACCATCCAGAATTCAAGCAATATAATTGATTATAGCGGCTCGACACAGACGTCGAGTTCCACTGCGATGTTGTATGGACTAGGCCTATTCACTGCCCTCTTCGCACTGACGAGAATTCATTGTAGGCATACGACCCTATTCAACGTGTGATTGATAACAACGCCTTGTATGGTCAGTCATCTGTGAAATCAATGTTGGTTTTCTTAACCATTCTCCTGCAGGATTTGTCCAAATTATCCCCGACGGGGAGTGGGTTCAGCCAACGCTGGCATCGAATGTCTCCGCCTTCATGGCCACTGAGAAGGACAATTTCCCGCTCGATGCCAACCATCGCTTCGTATGGCGAGGCGATGAAAATGTGGCCAAAGCGTTACGAGGAGAGGCAGGAAATCCGGAGTGGACAGGGCTCTGTATGTATGTGAGTAACCACATCCATCGACTTCCTTCTTTCCATGCTCATTATCATCCTAGAACAATTTCGAAATCTCTCACCGTAGTATATGGGAGAACCCTATTTACACGCGGTTCTTTGAGTTCTTGGACCGGGCTGGCGGTGGGCCATTCCTTTGCTCTCGTTTGAATCTATTGAATGATATCGAGTCTATCTAGGTTTCTTCTATGAACGGTGGGGCGATGCTCCCGTGCACTCGTTTGGCATTGCCATGACACTCCGCAAGGATCAGGTCGTCCAGTTCACAGACATGGGGTCTGTTACTATCTTTCAGTGTACCGGAATCACTATTGATGACCAACGTTCCAGCTACCAGCACCAAGGCTGGGGGTTCATTTGCCCAGTAGAGTCTTCCTCGTGCACATGCGTGCAAGAAGAGAAGTTCAAATCTTTCAAAGATGGGGCAGAAGGGTGAGCCACATACCCCATACTAGTATATGCTTCTTTTCTTCGCGGGTCTCGGAGATCGGGTCGTTTCTTTTGCCTCTGCTTGTCTACACAATTTGCAATAGTTGGCTGACCCTCCTCTCCAGGTGGTTCGACGCCTAACGTACTATACCTAGTAATAGGGAGTAATAACGAATGCCATGACCACTTTTATGATAGTCGCCTACAATCTTGTTCCTTGATATTTATGGACCTCCAGAGAAACAATCTGCCTTCGTATGTACGCATTATCATGCTGGGTGTTGACCTATTTGCACACTACTTACAGCTGTAAAGACTTGTAATTGACTTGTATCCCTTGATTAGATTAGATCGTGAAGTAAGAGTTTGTGATCTATTTTTCTTTTGTTCTGATGTCTTCAAGGGGACCCGATTTGCAGCACTGGAATTCTCCTCTTATTGTCCTGCACTTGCCTTTCTTCCTAACGATGATCGTTGCGATATCAAAACATAACATTCAGCTTATTGTGATACTGCCGAACCAGTAGGTATCTGGGGCTGGAGTATCCGCACCAAGGATTACGATGCTGCATTAAATCTATTCCCCAGCACGACCTTCCACCGTTCAATCCACCACTACGCACTATTAAAACATGGCAATAACTAACGCAAAACAACTGCTTCATCAGGCTTCAAGCATGATGCTTCCGACGATGTTCGTATCGTTGCGAACCTCGACACTCTTTTCTAATCGCGATTTGTTTCCATTCAGGTTGCGGGAACACAACCCACTGGCATACGATCCCCAAGAAGAACATCATTGGCTCTATAAGGACACCCCTCGGGGCTGGGAAGACGCGTATGATATCTGCATTACTGGCGGGCGACAGATGACTGTCACAGTCGGTCGAAAGTCACAGTCTGACAACAATCCAGTCGAAACTTTATGGACTGTAGGGGGCAGGGTCGATTTCAGTAAACCCTTTTCCCTAACTGCACAATTCGATAGTTCTGGTGGCGCTTGGCCTTCGGATCTCAGTTTCAGACGCCTTGGCGAATTCTTATCTGTTCTCGCACATGGTGAAATCCCATATGAACACTGGAGCG